CGGGGCCCTGGGGGTGTGTGGGAGGGGCCGGAAGAGGGGGGAAGTGGAGGTGAGGACCCCATGCTCCTCCTTCCACTCAGAAATGGGGGCCTCAGGCTGCGAGTTTGGAGGTGGAAGAAGGGGCTGATGGGCCATTCCTCTGAATGTGCCAGCCTGGGAATGCCAGCCTCTGACAGTGAATGACTGAAATTCAAGCTTTCTTCCAGAAAAGGAAGCTGACTAGGAGGCAGTGGAGGGGACTGAAAATAATAAGGATAATAGCTAACGTTTCTATCTCGCCTACCGCATGCCAGGCACTGTGCAAAGCAGTTTACCAATTATTATGTGACATGATCCTCACAACCCCTGGGGGAGACAGGTGAAAAGAGCACTGAGCTGGAACTCAAGAGACCTGGGTTCAAATCCTCCCTCTGCCACTTACCAACTGTGTGACTTTGGCCAAATCACTATTTTCTCCGAGCCTCAGTTTCCCCACATGTAAAATAAAGTAGCTGATATTTTTAACAGTTTTTATTTATTTTATTTATTTAACAATTTTTTATTTCATTTCAGCCTCATACCAGCTCAGTGGGTAGGTATGACCCCATTTTACAGTAGAGGAAACTGAGGACAGGAGAAATTAAGTCACTTACCCACCACCAGTGTCAGAAACAAGAAGTAAACTCAAGTCTGGCCTGCCACTGGGTCCATTTCTTCTGTCCAAGACCAAAGTGGAGGAGCCCGAGACCCAGGGGTCACTGAGCAATAGGTCTAGTAGCCTGGGACTGCCTGGCTCCAGGTCGGCAGCTTGACCCCCAGAAAACCATTCTTCCAAATTGAACAAAGTACCCAGATACCCTCAGGATGGCTAACTACCTCCAGCCACCCACTGTTGTTTTCCCCAGATACGTTCATATCAGAGAGGCAGTTCCAACTCACAAAGAAAGAGACTGGACTCATTGACTTCTAGGGTCCCTTCCAGCCCTGTATCCCATGACTGGCCTTGAGCTTCCCCATCTGTAAAATGGGGGTAATAATGTTTCCACTCCTTCTCTCACAGGCTACTGTGAGAAAAGGACTCTGGAAGCTGAGAGACCATAGGATATAGTTTAAAAATAAACAAATAAACATCCGGAATCACACCCCAATGACCAGGGGTGACCTTATAGACCATCAAGTAATTTTAGACCTCTGGAAACTGAGGCAGCGAGTGACTTGCCCACTAGGAAGTGTCAGAAACAGAATTTGAGGGGCAGTGGATAGAGCACCGGCCCTGAAGTCAGGAGGACCTGAGTTCAAATCCAGCCTCAGACCACACACTTGACACTTACTAGCTGTGTGACCCTGGGCAAGTCACTTAACCCCAAATGCCCCCCCAAAAAAAGTAAAAAAGAAAGAAAGAAAGAAACAGGATTTGAACTCAGCTCCTCTGACTCCACTGGAAATCATTTGAGTCATGTTATGACCAGGCCTCAGTCTGTCGGTAAGGACTAGATAACCTCGAAGGTCCCTTTTATAAGCTGACAGCCTGGATTTGAGTCTTGGCTCTGACTTGGTGACCAGGTCACTTGCTGTGTGATCTTGGCCAATTCATTCCCCATCACTTGGCCACAGTTTGCTCTTCTGTAAAAAGAAGAGATGACCTTGGTGCCCTTTCCAGCTCTGAAGTGTGACCATCGTACATGTTCTCAGCAGCATCTATTCCTCCTGTCCAGAAGGAGGAGGCCTTATGCCCCCCTCACACCATATGGGGTGGACAGAAACCTCCTACATACCCTTCCCTTTCCCATGATCACTCATTCCTCCTCCGTATTCCCCTCCGTCTCTAACAGATCTTGAAGAGTGGGCCCCTGCCTGCTTGCAAGGGAAAGGCCTTCCTTTGAAAAGGAGAAGAGAATAGAATCTGTGGGGGGTGGGAAGGCCACGGCCGGACTCTTTGACTAGGGGATGAAAAAGCTGGGAAGAGGGTCAGCCTCATTGTCTAGGTGGCTGTAAGGGGCCCCTTGAGAGGGGAGAGCAGGTGAGAGGCATGGAGACCCCAGAGATAAAGAAGCAAGGCCAGAGTTCTCTGAGAGATTATCTTTCTCCCCTTTCCGGACCACAGGGCCAGGCCTGTCATAACAGCCTTCCTTGGGGAAAGGAGCACAGGGGTTGGGCCAAAAGATGTGCAAAGTGGTCCCAGCTTTGATAAGCTCTAACTACATCTCAAGGAATGTCTCAGTTTAGTCTTCCAAGATCAGGCTGGGCTCCTTGGAAAGAGTCCTGGCTCAGTCATCCAAAAGACCTGGATTTAAATCCTGGCCCCACCACATAAGCCTCAGTTTCCTTATCTGTAAAATGAGAGGTTTAGACTCCATAATTTCTAAGGTCCCTTTCAGCTCTGAAGCTAGAATCTTGTGAGAAGCCAGGGGTCTGGTTAGGGCCTCCTGGGCTGGATTCAAGTTGGAATCCTGGCCGACAGATTCTACAAAAGACAAGATACCGGTTCCCAGGGGGCCTTGTAGGCTGAGGATCACCTGGCTCTCCTGGGGACCCAGAGAGAGAGGGCTTTGAATTTGGGGTCACCTAATCTTACCTCCCAATTCAGTCCCAACGTCAGCATGGGAAAAGTGTAGTTCCTAGGAGTCAGCTGGGATTCTTAGATGTCTCTCCTGTACCCCAGTACCCCTCTAGACTCAGACTTGTGCAAATTTTTATTATCCCAGTGTCCCTGCTCACTGCATATTTAATGCTCTTCTTTGCCTTTCCCAATTGTAAAAGTCCCAGAACCAGACCTGGAAGGACATCAAAGGCTAGCAAGTTCAATTGCTTTATTTTACAGATGAGGAAACTGAGGCTGAGGGAGGCAGAGGGCCTTGCCCAAGGTCATATGGATTCATCAGAGGCCTGGTCCTCTCACTGCTGAGCCAGCATTCTCTCTACTGCATCATCCTGCCTCAGTCTGTCCAACCTCGGAGAACCTGAGCTCAATCCCACACTCAGAGGGCTTTAGTGGAGGATGTAAGATTTCATTTAGGACTGAGGAACCCTGTAGCTTATCAAGTCCAACCATTTTACAAAAAAGGAAACTGAGGCCCAGAGACAGGGAGGGACTTTCCTGGGGTCATCCAACCAGGAGTAGGATTGTACTTCATTCCACAAGCATTTTATTAGAGCCATTTGTATGCACCATGCTTTTTGGGGGTGGGGCGGGGGCTGAACCTGTGACTCCGTTGGTAAGGGAGGGAGCTTCCTTTCCCCAAGGAGACTGACACCTTACAGCCTCACACTGTTGCCTGGGGCCACAGAAAGGTTAAGTGACCTACTTGCCCAGGGTCCCAAAGCCAGTGTGTGCCAGAGCCCAGGTCTTCCTGAGTCCAAGCCTGTAGCCACTACTCCACACTGCCCTTGTCCACGCGCATTCCGTATTTCTATTCTCTAAGCCACCTTGACTCTTTACATGACTGAGCTGCAGCCCATGGAATCGTAGTGCCCTCCAGTATGGCAGGGTTGGTTAGGTTTTGGGTTTTTTTTTGTTAACACCACACATGTACATGTTGGTAATTTTTTTTAACACTTCCGCACATGTATTTAAAAGTGCAGATGTGTACTGAGAGGCTGTACTGTGCAATGGTAATTACACTGGATTGGGAGTCAGGGGATCCGAGTTCAAATCCTGGTTCAGTCATGAATGTCTGGTGGAACCCCAGACAAATCAGCCAACTTCTTGGGAAGGGAGTTGCCCTGCTGTCTAAAATGAGAGGGTTGGCCCAAGCAGCCTCTAATTGTCTCTTCTGTTTCTAAATGTACATCCTCTTCAAATCAGGGATAGAGGCCAGGTGGGCAGCTCAGAAATTGAAAATACTCTCTGGCACCTACCAGGAGGAAAAGAAAGCAGGGGCAGGGGAGGGGGGCATGATTCTAGAGAGTCAGGGAAGGCTCTTAATCTATCCCCCCCCACCCCTTTCCTGGGAAAAGCGCATTTCCCAAGAAGATCAGAGGGTCTCCCATCCCCTCCTCTCGTGGCTCAGTGTCTTGACTGGATGGGAGGAGACGGGGCTTCTAACAAGGGGAGGCAGGAGACTGGGGTTTGCTTCCAGCCTCTACCAGTGTTGGGTCTTGGGCATATCCCCTGTCCCAGCCTCAGTCTCCTCAACTGAAGAAAGAGGGGGATGGACTAGACGTCTCTGAGGTCCTGGCTAAGCTCTAATGACCTGTGACCCCTGGTCCTGGTTCCACTTCTCTGGGGAAGAAATCCCTCTGTCCAAAGTTTAAAATAACAGCAAAACCCCAGAGGAGGAGGGCACTAAGGGAAGGTCCAGGGGCCTTGCAAGGGGAGGAGGGAGCCGATAGGACCCAGGGGAGGTGGCCTCATGGGGAGGTCACTACCAGACATTTCCCACGATGCAGGGGAGCAGCTGGACGTTGGAGGCAGGGGCCCCACCAACCCCTCTCTCCTTCCACTTCCAGGGGAACTGACCCATTTCGGGGCCTTCCTCCCCCAGCCCATGTCTGAGAACCTATAGGGCGTCTGTCTGTGCCCCTGGTGGGGTGGGGGAGGTCACCTTCTCCCTAAGTCACCTGCTCAAAATCCCTCTTCTCTAGTCCCAGCATTCGATCAGACAGTGGGGAGTCTGAGGGTGTGCCGAGGGCAGTCAGTCACCCATGGAGCTAGTGTGACAAGTAGGGTCCCTTTAACCCCATCACTGCTGGAGCATCAATTTCCCTCCCCAGTTAGCTGGGGGAGGGGAGGTCCGTTCTTTTCCCCAGAGGGGCAGAAAGTAAGGCTGGGGAATCTCTTGATCAGCCGCAAGTCTCAGGCTGGTGACTGGGGTTTTTGAGGGGTGGGCTAATCCCCACTTTGAGAGCCCCCATTGGTCAGGAGCCCCATTTATTTTTGAAGGGGATCTGCCCCGCTCCCTCCTCTCCCTGCCCGGGGCTCCTTCCGTTCTCACGCTGCAGCTCCAGCCCTGCGAGAGTGGGGTGAGTAGGGGCTCCGAGCTCTCCCTCCGGGGAAAGAAAGGGTGGGGGGCGGGCTTTACCTGCGGCGGGAGAACTGGGCGGCTCCTCCGAAGCTCCAAGAGGTGCCGTGGCCCCCGGGGAGCAGGGCGCAGAGGCAGAGCAGTGCCCACCCCCAGGCGGCTGCTCCCAAGGCAGGCTGATGCCGCCCACTCCTCATGGTGCCCGTGCCCGCGGCCGCCACCGCCGCTGCCGCTGCTGCTGCTGCCCGCGCGGGGGGCATGTGGGGCGCGGGATGCAGGAGCGAGCCCTCCTCTGGCCGCCGCGGCCCCGCTGCCCTCCTGCCCAGCTTCCCGACGCCGCCTGCCTGGCTCCCTGCCTCGCTCGCAGCCTCAGCCCCTTCCTCTCCCCCGGACGTGGCCCGATTTCATCTTCCCAGCCCCCCGGAGCCCGGAGGGGGCGGGCAGCTCCGGGGGGAGGGGACGAACCAGGGGGACGGCCCCCTCGGCACTGCCCACCCCCGCCCCCCAGCGCCGCCGGGGCCGCCCCAACCCGGAAGGGGAGCTCCGAGGGGCGGCCGACTCCCAGGCCTGGGGGTGGGGGCTGGCACAGGCTGGGGGGACCCCCGCGGCGCCCAGAGGCGGGGCGGAGCCTGAGCTGCCCCGGGAGAGCGGAGACGAGAAGCGGTGAGGGCATTCGGGGCTGGAAGGAACCGTGCACATCCCCCATCCTCCTGTTTTACCTAGGAGGAAACTGAGGCTTGGGGTGGTAAGGAAGCTCCAGTCACCCAGTGCCCTGCTCCTCGACCTTTTAGTCTTGGCATCAAGAGCTGGGTCGGACCTTGGAGCTTATCACAGGCTCTGCACCTGGACCTGCAAGATCCTCTCCTCTAACCCCAAGCCTGTTGCAGACGAGTAAACTGAGGCCTCGAGAGGTTGACACGATCCGTGAAGGTCTCTCAATAAGCAGCAGAGCTGAGAATTGAACCCACATTTTAGGGCTCAAGAGCTAGAGCAGACCGGGACCTCAGAGGAGGAAACTGAGGCACTGAGTGGTTTAAAGGATGGTAGATTTAGGGTTGGAAAGGACAACAGAGACCATCTAGAGGAGGAAACTGAGGCACGTAGAGATGACTTACCCAGGACCACACAGCTAGGAAGTGTGTGAGACAGGATTTGAACCCAGGTCTTCCCAACTCCAAGCCCAGCACCCTCTCCACCATGCATCTGTCGTCTACTGAGTCCTCTGATTCCAAATCCAGGGCCCTTTCCTATGCCTTGCCCTCTTTGCCTCAGTTTCCTCTTTTGTAAAAGGAGGGGGTTGTATTAAAATGGCCTCTGAGGTCCCTTCTGAGTCTAGAGTTAAGTGCCTGTGGTCCTTCTCTGACATCTCTCCCAAGTGTTCTTCAGGGAAGAAAGGCAGAAGGCAGACTTCCACACCAGAAGGTCCCTGCTAGGACTCCCTAATTCAGACTGGGTTCTCCAGGTCCAGAACAGGTCTGGAGGTAGATATGACCGGCAGACACTCTGTCCACCTCCCCGTCCCCCAGATGCTGGCAGCATCCTCATAAGCAGAATGAATGTTCCCTGCCCTGGCAACCCCAAAGGCAAGATCATGAGGGAGGAGTTAGCATCTTCCCTCCACCACACACTCTTGGCTCCTCCCCAAGTCCTCCTTGGGGAGAGATACAGTAGTAATAGCAATAATAACAATATTAATAATGATAGTATTTCTGTAGTGAATTAAGGTTTTCAAAGCACTTTTCATGTATCTCATTTGCAGCTCGCAACAATCCTGGGAGGTAGGTGCTAGTATTATCCCCATTTTGCAGATGAAGAAACTGAGGCAGGCAGGTTAAGTGACTTGCCCAGAGCCACACAGTAAGCCTCTGAGGATTTGAACTCAGGTCTTTCCGAGCTAGGGAATTATGAGAAGGGAGCAGCAGTGGCAGGTCCAGGGCAGCCCTAGTGGGTCACATCACCCTAGGACTTCTCTGTTTCCCTGTCAAGGGAACTAACTGTCCCTCTAATCGTCCATGTGCGGCTCCCCTGATCTTTCTTTCTATTTGCCTTCTTGAGCCCTCCCCATCCTGCAAGGCCCAGCTAAAATCCCACCTCCTTCTATATTTAGCCGTGTGTGTGTGTGTGTGTGTGTGTGTGTGTGTGTGTGTGTCTCTCTCTCTCTCTCTCTCTCACACACACACACACACACACACACACACACACACACACACATACACACACATCCAAGCTCTCGTACAGCCTCTCATCATATATTGCCTTGTATGGCATGCTGTCTTCTCATGTATATATTTTCCCTCCCAGCCTCCTCCTCCTCCTCTCCAGATCCTTGGACCCAGCAGGCACAGAATAAATGTTTGTTGATTGATTGATTGTGTAATCTTATCCTCAGCCTGATTTCAAACACACCCCTCTCCCCAGAGTGTGAGCAAGGGTCTTAATCCCAGCTTTCTCCTTGTTGCTTCATCAGATCCCAGGGTCAGAACTGGGGGAGACCTTAGAACAGGGGATGTCAGGGCTGGAGGGGCCTGGGAACAGGGGATGTCAGAGCTGGGAGGGGCCTGGGAACAGGGGATGTCAGGGCTGGAGGGGCCTGGGAACAGGGGATGTCAGGGCTGGGAGGGCCCTATTTAAAGCAGAGAATATTACAGTATTACATGTCTAACCTATCCCACACTCAGCTTGTAGATGTGAGTATTCACCATAGGGAGGCAGATCCAATCAAGCCCCCCATTCTCTGCTCGTCTTCAGGAAGCCACCATAGTGTTTCCTTCCCTCTGCCCCCAATCCCCACCTCTCCTGTGCTAACTCTGAGAACAGAAAACAAATCCAGGTCCCCCATTAGAATGTAAGGTACCTGACGGGAGGGACCATGTGGGTTGTGTACAGTTGTGTCCCAGCACTTCACTCAAGGCCTCCCTTCCCATTCCTTTCCACAGCGGGGTCTCAGAACAGAGGATGTTAGAGTCGACAAGGACCTTTGAATGAAGGACAGACCCGGGCTGTAAAAGCTGAAGATGTGAGGGTGGGGCATGGCAGCAGGGGCTTGGGATGCTCCGTGGAGGCTGGGTGGTTGGCTGGTTGCTCTTCATTCTCTAAAAGGACCAAAATGGCATCACTGTGTTGGGGTTAAGGTACCCACTGGGCTGAGCAGACCAATACAGGCTTAGAAAGCTTTACCACAGGTCAGTCACATTTGGAGTGCAGATGGCTCTAAATTTGTACATCTGATGTTTGTTTTGAGCTACTGCAATTCTACTTTGCTCATGGAGCACAGAGCCTTCTTTGATGTGGGTACACGATGCTGGGTGGTTCTGTGCCAGTGTCTCCAACATCTCATCATTGATTCCAGAGTTCTACAGAGAGACCTTGAGAGTGTCCTTGTATCGCATTTCTGACCTCTGTATGAACACTTGTCCTGGTGAGCGCCCTGTGAAATAGTCTTGGCATTTAAACAATGTGGCCAGCCCGTTGGAGTCGCGCTCTCTGAAGCAGAGTCTGAATGCTTGGCAGGTTAGCTAGGGAAAGGACCTCAGTATCTGCTATCTTCTCCTGCCAGGTGATCTTCAGAATCTTCCTAAGACAATTCAAATGGAAGAGATTCAGTTTCCTGGCATGGCACTGGTAGACTGTCCAGGTTTCACAATGAGGTCAGCACGAAGTCTTTGTAGAGCTTCAATTTGCTAGTCAGTCTAATACCTACCCCTTCTCTCCTAAATTTTCCTTCGGAAAGTCCCAAACACTGAGCCAGCTGTGGAAATGAGTGCGTCAGCCTCATTATCAATGTATACATCCTTGGAAAGTGCGCTGCCAAGATAAGCAAAACTTATCCACAGCATTCAAAACTCCTCCATTTTTGTAACTGTGTTTTCTTGGTGTTAATTGTTAGGTCCAAATTAGCACAAGCAGCAGAGAAGTGATCCATACTGTGTTGCATCTCAGCTTCAGAGAATGCATTGAGTGCACAATCATCTGCAAACAAAAAGTCATGCACCAACTGTCCCTCCACTTTACTCTTGGCTTATAGCCTTTTCAAGTTAAATAAGGTAGCTGGGTGAGCCAAAAGGCTGTTCTACAAGTTTTCCTAATTAACAGGTCACAAAGATGGTAGAATTGGGACTACAACTTTGGTAGGAGATGACACCAAAATCATGGAAAACATCTCAAACCTCATTAATACCAGAGGCAGAGGAGGGAGGAAGGGAGAAGGAAAGGAGAGAGGGAGGAAGGGAGAAGGAAAGGAGGAGGGAGGAGGGAGGAGAGAAAGAGAGGAGGGAGGGAGGGGGCAGGAGGAAAGGAAAGGGAGGGGAGGAGGGAAGGGAAAGAGAGGGGAAGGAGGAAATGCCCACGATGGCTCCCACCTGTTGCCTCTTCTCTTCTTTCTGCTCCAGGCCAAGGATGTCCTCTGGGAGGGCAGAACAAGCAGGCTTCTGCAGAACCACCAGGGACCACTTCTTTACCATCTTTTCACAATCAACTCAAAGATGCAGAGATCATCATCATCATCATCTTCTTCTTCTTCTTCTTCTTCTCCTTTCTTTTTCCTTCTTCCTTTTTCTTTATTCTTCTCCTCCTTTTTCTTTCTTTTTCTTCTTCTCTTCTTTCTTCTTCCTCTTCCTCCTTCTTCCTTTTCTTCTTTCTTCTTCTTTTTCTTATATTTTGATCGTGAAAAAGCATTTCTCGTGGTAGAACTACATGCTTTTACAGGCTATTTTACAACAAAGTGCCTCCCATTCATACATCACAGGATCACTGATTTTGAGCTGAAAGGGACCGCAGAGGCCATTGAGTCCATTTTATAGGAGAGAAAATGGAGGCACAGAGGGATTAAGTAACTTCCCCAAGATCCCACAGCTGGTAAGCATTTGAGGCAGGATTGGAATTTGAGTCCTTCCAACCCCAAGACTAACATTCTATCCTCAACACCACCAGCTTCCTCAAATCTAGTTGAAATTCCTTTGAAAGATGAAACAACAGAAATAACGTTGTTCCTCAGCCCTTTGCTCATAAACCTCAGGTGAGGCATAAAATGCAGAGAGTCTGGTCAACAAAGGTATTTGCTATGATGGAAGACAGCGAGTTGTTCAGACCGAAGAATGCTTACCTGTGAATGGTGAGGGTCCCTAGATGCTCTATGGACAACATCGGGCTGATTGCATCAGGCCTGGAATACTGCAGAGCCCCCTGGAAGAGAAGTCTGTCTCCACTCAAAGGACTTGACCATCCACACAGGAAAGACCAAGTGGTTGAAGAATGTCTGCCATGCAGATTACATCATGCATTTGGATGGAGACTCTATCTAGAGAGCTTATTCATCAATACGTAGATTGGGGACAGAAAATTCAGACAGATTTGGGCCCAGAGCTGAAGAAGAGGAAGCTGGATCTCCTTTTAAGAAATTGGGAATAATTTTGTAAAAATTTGTAAAAT